CTTCTGAGGTGGGTGGGTAGGGGGGGGGGTAGAGAATGATAAGGGGTGCCGGGCAGAGGAGAAGCGGCGTAGTGTCTGGTCTGGTCTGGTTTGGTTTTATGGATGGGTGGCATAAGGTAGGATATACATGAGGCAAGAGGCAGCATAAGAGGGTTGGGAAAGAGGGATCTGGGGGCCAAACACGCACCCCATTCGTCGCTTTCCCGCTGGTCCTCGTGTATCGTCGTCGGAGACAAAGGCGAGACTGGGTTCATGGGCTCGGCCGGCTTAGCTACCCGCGGCGCTGGGAATTGCTGGGTTGTTGGGCTGCTGGAGTTGGTGCTGGCGATACTTTGTTTTCGGTTGTCTTGGGGAGGCTGTTGTTAGCTGTATGGGAGGGAGGGAGGGTTGAAGGGAAAGGGGGAGGCTACCATACCTGCCATTATGGATGGTTCCAACTCGGAAAAGCTTAGATATCGGTGTTGGTTGAAGGAGACGGTGATGTTGGGCACAATCACAGCCGTTGGTTGTCACGGAAGAGGAGAAAGGGAGGTCGGAGTCAAGGTGGGTAGGGCAAGGTCCGCAAGACGTCAGGAGAGAGTCTGAGCGCACTCTGGCCGGGGTGAGCCTGGACAACGCGAGACTGGCGGGTATTATATCTTACAGTGTAAGACAGAAGTCACCTTGTGGTCTTCCGAATCCGGCTGAGAGACAGAGAAGGTCTAGGCGCTGTGTGGCTTTTCGCCCCCCCCTCCTCCTGAGCTTTGTTTAAGCTGGTGTTGCCCCTCTCGACGGTCTTACAACGGCTCTGTATCCGCCATGACCTGCGGCTTAAACATTGTTGTCTGTCTGATCTCTTCCAATCAAACCTGCAGAACCGACAGGCCGGTGTGCATCACGCGACCCTCGCGCGGTAGGCAAGAGCGTATCCCTCAGCAGAAACACCCGGCGCCATGTCTATTTGCAGAGGTGGCCAATCGTCAAAGAACAGCGGCTTTCACGCACCTGACGTCATGTTCGACACTGAAGCTGCAAGCAAGCCTATCTATATTCGTCTCATGGAGCAGACAGCAGTGCCTACTGGGCTGGACAACAACACGGATTGCCCAGAGCGGTAACAGCCTAGCTCCCGACGATGTGCTTACAGACTTGTCCAGGCAACCCAAAGGTGTGTGTGGCAGGCCTCGGACTAAATACACCTAGACTTCATCGATCGTGACGCCGTCAAACAACATGACATCATGATTTTGAGATAAAATCTTTGGGTGGCTCTGCTAACTTTGGAAATCGCGGTTCACCTGTCTCACGTCTTTGGAGTGACTCGTTCGTAACATGGCATCCTGCAGTATTATCAGATGATTTGTCTGCATCGTGAAAAGCAGTCAAAGAACACATGCAGATGATCACACACAACATTTCCCAGAAACAACACAAAAATGAGGACTTGACAAGACCAAAAACATTTCAAAATTGCAAGTAGTCATGTAAAAAGGAGGACCGATGAAGGGTGGTGAAACAAAAGGTGAGGTCGTGCCCGGGTTCGAACCGGGGTTACCAGAACATTGGGGATGTCTCAAAATCTGGAGTGATAACCGCTACACTACACAACCTTGCTGTGTGTTAGTGCGGGATTCTCCACCGCCCTCTTATGGATGTAGGGCCAATCCGCAGAATCTGGCTTAGGGTTAGGGTTGATCATGTCGTGCGAAATCATCAGTCCAAGTGCAAGAGCGAGAGAGGTTGAGAAGACAAAAAGAGTACCACAAGTATTAGTCGTGTTCTCTACATGGTCTATACACCGCACTATCAACACCTGCAGCCTTCAAACTCCCCAACCTTGACCACCCGCCGACTCCGACAGCCCCTATTATCATCACATCATGTCGGCTTGCGGTGCATCGTCCCAGCACCAGCCTACAGAATTAGTTGTCAGCATACCCTGGAGCGAAAAGCGCTGCTTGTTTCATCTCTTACCTGATGGCTCGGGAAAATCAAGGTGTCGGCAACCACCACGTTCTGCCGTCTCCCCGCAACAAACACCACCACCTCGGCGATGTCCTCGGGCGTCAGGGGCTCGCAGCCGCTGCATGGCCAGTGTCAGTCTTGGTTCCAGTCCCCATTCCGTTTGACAACACATCAGAGAACGACTTACGCATAAACGGCATCGGCCTTGGACTTGTCACCGTAGAACCGAACAACCGAGAATTCCTATTGACACGGTATGAGCACCATGCATCAATGTCCCAGATAGGGCGAAAATGAAAACCCTACCGTCTCGACCTGCCCAGGGTCAACCTCCATGACCCTGATCCGCGTGTCGATCAGCTCCTTGCGCAGGGCATCGGTGAAGGCGCGCACGGCGGCCTTGGAGGCGCAGTAGATGCTACCGCCTGCGTAGGGCTCGCGCCCGGCGATGCTGCCAATGTTGATGATATCGCCGGCGCCGCCGTCCGGGCGGGCCTTGAAGATGGGCAGGATGGCCTGGGTCATGTTGATCAGGCCGGTGACGTTGGTCTGGAACATGACGCTGACGTCCTCTTCGGCGATCTCAGGGGCGCGGGCGACTGGGTGGTTCGTTAGTACACACACACACACTCTCTCTCCCCCGTAGGCCTCCATAATCTCATACCTCCTTTCACCAACCCCCTATAAATAAAACCACGTCAGCCAACCATCCCCCTTATCACTTCCAGAGATAAAAAGATGGATAAACCAAAACAGAAAACTCACGCGTTATTCACCAACACATCCACCCCGCGAAACTCCTCGGGCAAGGCCGCGACGAGGCCCCGCACTTGGACGGGGTCGGAGACGTCCAGCTCGACGGGCAGCACGCGGACGCCGTCGCCGACCTCGTCGCGGATCTGGGCGGCCACCTCGCGAAGGCGGTCGGCCCGGCGCGCCGTCAGCACCAGCCGCAGGTCCGTGGGCGCGGTGCGCGCAAACTCGAGGGCGACGCTCCGGCCGATGCCCGACGACGCGCCCGTGATGAGCACCGTCTTTCCCTGTAGGCGTTGGGCCATGGCGGTGGCGGTGGACATGGTTCTATTCCTGGGGAAGAAGAAGAAGGGTCGTTGGGGTTGGGGTCGGAAGAAGGGGGTGGTTTTTCTGGTGGTGGTTGTTGTTGTTGTTCTTGCTATTCGTGCAAACATGGCAAGAGGGAAACGAATTCAAGAGTTCCGGCAACGGAGGAGTTAATAAGGGGGGGAGGTTGAGATGTGACCCCCGCGGAATCGGTGCTGACGCCATTTTCTAGCTCGGCTCAATGCCCGCCGTTGCCGGGCCGGCCCCGGAAAACACCCCGCACCGTCTCCACCGCGCCGGCGTTAGTGTTACCAGGTAGGCCACTCCTACCCCGCACCGGTAGCTTCTTCCTTGTCCGGGGTGAACATTGCCCTCAGCGTAAAATGGTCCGAGTTGGAAGCAGGAAAGTGAGTAGGTCTGATGATAGATGACGTGAGATGTGTCTTGGCTCCAAGGTCTAAAACAGAAGAACTATGTAAATACAACAATAACTAGGTATCCAAAAACGCCATTGCCGCTATCCAGCCGGCATGCAGTGTATAATTATATCCAAGATCCGGGCTCAACCCCCCAGTGACACTTCTAAACACTGGCTGGGGACTCGGTCAGCGCCCCAGTTCCCACTGCCTGACCACCAAGCGCCGCCGCCTTCCGCCTCTCGCTCTCCTCGCGGTACCGCTGCTTCATCATGTCCTCCATCGACACCCTGTTTCGTTGGTAGATGCCCAGCGTACACACCATGGCGACAGCCACCACGGCGCAGCACACAATCATGTCCTGCTTCAGCGCATCCGTGTACACGCGCCTGATCAACGCCCACTGGTCCGGCGACATGGCCGACGGATCCGACTCCAGGTTGGCCAGCGCCTCGGGTGGTATACTCCCGCCCACCAGCTCCGCAGTCTTGGCGCTCAAGATGGCCGACGACGCCGCGATGCCGATGCTCCCGCCAAAGATGCGGACCTGCGCCATGATGCCCTGGGCAGAGGCTTGCAAAACAAAAACCGTTAGCTCAGACTTTCAACCATTGATGGGAAATAAGACTCACCATGCTCCCAAACCGGCGCCTCGGCCCCGGCCAGCATCGTCCCCCCAGCCGCCGACAGCCCAAAACCGAACCCGACAATGGCCAAAAACCCCAACACCCTCGCCTCCACCACCCCCTCGCTGCCCGCCGTGATCTCCAGCCCGCACCCCAAGATCAGGAACGCGCAGGCCGCCAGCAGCGTCTCAAAGAACCGCACCTTCTTCCCCTGCGCGCCATTGACCGCGCCCGAGACCGTGGTGCCCATCGCCGACGCGGCCAGCATGGGCAGCAGCATCAGGCCCGCCTCGAGCGCGCTCTTGCCGTAGACGACCTGGAACCGGACGGGAAAGGCATAGATGCAGAGGAGGTAGGGGAAACCCGTCAGCATGGTGTGCAGCACGGCCGCGGCGTAGACCTTGTTGCGCAGGAGGATGGGCGGGAGGGCAAAGGCCATGTCCTTCTTTTTGCCGGTTCGCGTTTTGGTGAGATAGGCTTGCCAGAGGAAGAGGCCCGCGAGGCACGCGACGCCCGTGAGGAGGGGCGCGAGGAAGGTGGCCGAGGACCAGCTGGATGGTTTGGAGGAGTTTTGGAAGGGGAAGACTATCAGGACGGCGGATGCCATTCTGTCAAGGAGGGGAAAGGGTGTTAGTGGGTTGCCCTCCAAGAGGGGGAAAAGGGGGGAGGGCTTACAGAAGGAAGGCGCCGACAAAATCGACATCTTTCCAGGCGCGTCGCTCGAGAGAGGGGAGGTACTTCTTGTTTGGCCAAGCAAGAAGGAAAATGACGAGGGAGGCGACGCCGATGGGGCCGCTATCACGCTTTTGTTAGTATCATATACCCCCCTGGATGTGCAAGAAGAGCGGGAAAAAACAAACTTGATCCAAAACACCCATCGCCAGCTCGTATACTGCGTCAAGATACCGCCAAGCACCGGCCCCAACACCCCCGCCGAAGCCACCACCAACCCGACGACCGCCGCAATGAACTTCTTGGCTCGATCCGGTGTCACCTCGGGCAGGATGATCATCGAGATACTATACAGGCCTGTCTCTTCAGTCAGCGATCCCTTCTCCCCCTTTTCCATTCATCCCCCCAAACGTCATCATCATCATCATCATCCCACAACAAGTGTAGATGATAATAACAAGGAGCTCAAGTAAGGTTAAGCCAAAAAAAAAGAAGCTCACCACTCCCCCCCAACCCCTGCAGCGCCCGAAAGGCAATGAGCTGCTCCATGCCCGTCGCAAAGCCGCAGGCCAGCGAGAAGGCGACAAACACGACATAGGCCGCCACAAAGGCGGCGCGGCGGCCGACGACGTCCGAGACGCGCGCAAAGAGCACCGCGCAGCCGAGGTAGGTCAGCGTGTAGGCCAGGGCGACCCAGTTGATGGAGTCGACGTCGTGGAACTCGACGGCGATGGTGAAGAGCGACGTCGCCACGATGGACGTGTCGATCATGGAGAGGAAGAGGCCGAGGGCGACTCTGGAGGTAGTCAGTAAATATTTTTTTTGTTCTCGTCGGTTCGGCCCGGGTTTTACATAGGTATAGTATAGGAAGGGAAAGAGAGAGCGGTGTTTTATTTACCCTGCTATTATTCCTACTAGTCGCAGCTGGGGGATGGCTTGGGGCCCGAGGTGCTTCTCGTCGGCGCCATGGTCGGTTGTGACTATGGATTCTGGTTCTGCATCATCCGGAGCCTGAGGGGGGACGGGTATGTTTGTCGATTCAGGGGGTTGTTGCTTTTCGTGGACGTCAGGAGGCGGGTTTGGGAGACTCTCCCTGTCGGTTGAGGCCATGGCGATTTTGGGAAGGATAACTATTGTGACTTGAACATCAAACCACAACTGCGAGAGGCAATCCGGCAGACCAGAGGGCGGCCGAGCGGTCCGTTATATCTATCTGCCAGTTTGACGGCGAGCCACTGGATACAGATGTGCCTCCTGAAACCTGTCTTGGGGCATCAAAGCATCTCCTACTGCACATGTGGTTCCGGCCGAGTCACAGACACCGTCATGAGAACCCCCCAATGCTATCCTTGGCTTCTTGGCAAAGATCCCCCGCCGGCGTGGGATGCAAAAGCGGACGAAGCCGCGTCAACCTCAACACCGACACTGATCGACGTCCGAGCCTGGCGAGTCAAATGAGACCGGCTCGCACTCGGCTCTGGTAGTCCGGAGGAATGCGAGGGTGGATGTCGGCTCGACTGTGCAGTGACGGCCCCCCTTGTGTCGGCCCGTTCCGAGTCACGAGTCTCGGGTTGCAGGAAGGAAATCGGAAGTGAATGGATGCTGTAGAGAGAATCCCATTCATCTTTGAAGGCTCAAACGATCCGGCCCCCAGCCGAGAGCCGGGCGAAAGCCAACCCCCCCATACATATTACGGATACCACCTCCCATTTCGGGGGTGGTTTGTTGGGCCGTTATTGTGCTCGTTGGATGCAGGTCAGACGCCCACTGGCCATTCGCACTCGCTTTCGCCAAAAGACGCCGGTTCGAGCATTTTGGCGAATCCGGCGTTCGGCTGTTGCGTGTCTGCGATTGGCCGGTCTTTCAAACTAA